AGTTTCAACAAGCAGTACTATTAGCTTTGCATATCTTGCAATATTGTCAATCATCTGAGACAAAGTCACAGTTCATTTGAATTCAAACTTATTCATCTTAAAATAATTTAATATTCTAACTACATTCAATTTAACCTAATTCACAATTTCCTTTTAGTTATCAAAATTAATATTCTTAAATACTTAAACATAAATCCTGTAAATTTTGCTTTAGTTGATTTATACTTTTAAAAGACATTTAATTGTTCTCGGTTTTCAAAATTTAATTTAGTTATAATATGAAAGTTTATTTTTAAAAAACTTTATAATACCAATAGAATATGATGTCATTAGTGGGGATATATTCATGCACCACGACTACAATAAATAAACTTTATGTTTTTTATTGAGATTATGAACCGATTGATGTTAGACCACCTTTGGAAACCTGGATGCACTGGACGGACATTTCGTCCTATCGTGGGACTCCTCAGCAGTGCGTATCCACTGTCCTACTGGCGGGATTCAAACCCAGGGCCGTCGGTCTCCCGCGCGAGCGCTTAACCTACTGGACCACTGAGCCGACATCTAATGGTGATAGTGTCTAACATCAACCAATCCACGAAATTGCGCGACCTTCTTTCATTGTACTGTGGTAGATACCTGTCTCTACCCGAAATGGATTGACTCCACTGGTCACGGCTTCTCACTATAACTCCGAGAATTCCCCACGAAGCTAGTCACTAAATAGCACATGTTAATTACTAGTATAGGGGTTGTGGAGATCATTAACATCAATCGGTTCATGATCTCAATCAAAAACCTAATAGAGGGAAATATATGAAAATACTGGATAGAATAAAAAAGTAACATTTCTAAGGAATTTATATCGTTATCTAACATATTTTAATTACAAAAAGCTTTCTTTTTTACGTAATACAATTGTTTTTTTTCCTGAACAACCCAATTATCTTTGTTCTTAAACGTAATATATATCTTTTTTCCATAGCTCATTCATTTACATGTCAGAAAAATAACATCCAATTAAGTTTCAAGTTAGCAACGAATTCTATGAATGATAAAAATAATTCTCTTGTTTCTGATATTTTAAAGTCGTTTATATCAGAAACTCAATTAATTGGTCAAAACAAATGTAAGTTGAATTGATAATAATTATTAAGGTATTAATTATGGGTTGTAATTTCATTCAACCTTGTATTATCATTTAAAGTTATTACTGTATACAAATATGTACCAAACAATTATTTTATGATGTTACTTAACAGTTTTCAACTTGAATCATGAACGTTGGGAATCACGAGGCAGCCCACATTATTTTGATTGTAGTATGTTACTTTTTAGAAGTGAATACCAACAATTTCATCATGGTGGTATCACTATATCACTAAATGGTTAGCATATAGTGCCTCACATTTCTGACTTTAATCTACTCTCAATATTATGAAACCTTCATCGATTGTAACAGATGATACATGTCTCATAATCAACATAAGTAAATGCACTATCCCGTTGCTTCTCAGTTTACAATATTTTGGAGTGACTGTAAAATTCAGTCACTAGTGAACACATTAACACTATAAAAATAGATTTTATTAATTTAGTTGGGGTTATATCTTTCTTCATAGACTGAATGTAGGTCCAAAAATTAGTAGTTTTTTAAAAGAGAAATTTATTCAATGAACTAAAGAAAATGCTATCACCGGAAACTTTGCGTTTACAAACTCTTAAGGATTATCTCATGGCTACACTTTAGCTTAAATGGCAAGTAAGGTCTAAAAAAGTTAGTCAAGTTATATATATATATATATATATATATATGAAATCATTTAATTTATACAGTTGAGTCTTTTTAGTCTATGTTAGTAGAATAAATGATTATAAGTAAAGTTTCGGTATATTCGACTTATATCACTGAGGATGAAATAATATCGTCAATACTTATTTCTTATTGTCGATTGAATTCAAACGACTGAATTCCAATACGACCATTAATCTACACAACTTATTGCTTTATTGACTAAGTTCGGATGTTAATTAGAATTCGTTAAACATATGTGCAACACTCGTTGTAAGACGTTACTCGTGAGGTACTCGTGCGATTACCAGTCTGTTGGTATTCGTTAATCAGTTTGTGCAAACAACTCAACTCTATACGAGATCAAACCACCTAAATAATGTGCCAGGTCGAATTTCCCATGATTTTATGACAACAAACAAGATATCACAATATTTAATCTGCGCTTATAAGTTCTTGAGAATGATTTTTTATGTAACAAAGTTGATTTTGCACATATCAATATATATGAACATATCCTTGGAGTTTACATCAGTAATATCTAATGATAGTTGTATAACTGCTGTCAGTAAACACGTGCTACTGAAAATGATTAATTGATGAAGCCATGATGTTCACTTCATAATTAATATTTCCAAAGAGACTTAACAAATTCGACCCTGCTACTATTACTATGAGACATATTTACTGCAACCATCTTGACATGAAAAACTTTCTCCTCAAACACTTCAATCTAAATAAGACCATGAACTCAACTGGGAAACTACAGATAGAGTTTATAACTAACTAACAAATTGTTTGTTTATACTTTCAATGTACAACACAAAGTATCGTATAACATGTAAAAATATGAACGAATGAGTAGTCTTTTTGATACATCTAAAATATTGAAATAAGATTTTTATGATAATTACAAAATACTTGATAAAAATATGTACTCGTATAATAGCATTCAGTATATTGATAACGCGAGGACGACTTACGGGTGAACTCGAGAATGATCTAAGAAGCTCAGATAGAGACGACGATATTCCACCCAACCATCTTTTGAAAGAATATTCGAGAATCTTTATGCGTAGCTTACTTATTGGACAAATGCTAATAACCCCCTGTGTGCGGATCGGATAACTATAATGATGATTTCATTTTTACTAAAAACTATAAATGCTTGATAGTTTTATACCATATTTAACACTGTTTGGAATAGCATTTCTTTCACTCGTCTTCTGCCTTCTCATTTGCAACTTGAAGGGTTCTAGCTTTCGAGTGCTCTAATTGTATGCAGTATAATAAGAATCTAAATTCTAGACATAACAGATACCGTGAGACCTAGTTAAACATATATGTTTCGAATAGTGATAAAAATTTGGAAGAATCTGAGAGAATGTAATGAGATAAACAATATCATAAAGAGCTATATGTTTATTTACCAAAATTAATTTCTTTGTACATAAACAAAACTAACAAATTTATTATTGTCCTTCTTCATTATTTATTTTGTAGCTGTGTCCATTGTAAATAAAACGTTACAGTACCATTCAAAAACCAAACTAGTTTTAGAAACTTCAATCACATACAGAAATCATACTTTTATTATCAAAGAACAAACAATAGACTGGGAAGAATATAAATTTTTACTTGTCCCAGCTATATTTGCATTTCTTACACTGATTGGTATACAGATTATTTTATGCAGTTTTTGGCTACCAAATTCAGTTGTAAATAAATTTATAGCTTACTTTAAGAAGTGTAAATGTAAAAGAACATCAAAAGATCAATCAAATCAAACATGTTACAAGCATGAAATAAAACATTTGTACTTAAATAATATTTCTTCAGCGTCTAGAATACGTTCATCAAAAGAATGCATGAGCATAACAAGCCCATATTAATGTAAATGTTTAACTGAACAGATTGAATTACATACAAATTCTTGCACCAAGTGTACACTGGAACAAATTCGTTCAACATAGTATTATTATCATTCGATAAAATGATTTGAACGACTTTACATTCTACATTATGGTTAATGAATATACATAGGAAATAAAAACTAATGGCAATCTGTGTCTTTAGAATGCTTTGTATAAAAATATATGATCATGCTGTCGACTATTCATAGCTCTTATAATCCATTTCAACAGTTCAGTGGAAATATTAACTTCTTTAGTAAATCAGGATCCAAATGAATAATTATGTTTATTCAATTCGTAAACCATTTGTACTAGTGAATCCGTCAGTTCAATTATTATCAGTCAGTTAATCCAAGTTGTAAAAATGGAAGTCATAATAGTTTGACGAAATATTTACATTTTAGATCTTGGCAATGGATTTATTCCTTACTTTTAAATTTTTATTTCAAGTGTTCCTTGAAAGTAAAAACAGACTCAGCAACAATTCTGTTTTTTTCATAAGTTTATTTTTGAAACCCTTATAAATGTCATTTTTAGTGTCTGAATACTATACTAAGTACGTTTTTGGATTCAAGCTAACAGGATTATGTTACAGAAATTTACATTCAAAATAGGATGGCTTTGGTCTTAGTATATTGCTTAAAATCGTCAGAGAGATTAGTTTCCAATAATAATATATTTCCTCATTGAAATGATGTATAATGTACACAGAGAATTCTTGGCTAGAGAGGCAGTTAGATATTCCACTATGCATTGGAAATGAGTTGTCACTTAAGATTTACTATTGATTACTTTCATCCGCCTAATGTATAATGCTTGGTATAAAGTGCTCAAACTTTAGTCATTGTTATCCTTTATAAGACTTCACAGGTAAAATCAACAAAAATAAATCATTTTTAATGGAGTTTATTTATGAATAAAATACTGTAAAGCAGTATTTTTTTACTATGTATCGAGTTTTATCTTAACTACGGAAATTTTCTCCTCAACGTTTCTTTTTTATTTGCTTTACATTATGTTACTGACTATAAATCAATAGTATGTGTTAAAAGAAAGAAATTTCAGAACTATTCATGCTTCCATGTAGAAAGTATTTTTTTTATTTTTGTTGTCCATCATATGTTTTTAAAACAATTTGAAAATCACATAACAACGAAACTGTACATTAAGAGAAAAATTTTCGTAAAATATTATGTTTAACGGTAAAGAAATAGAAAGTTTATGTTTAATGACGTAACAGATATTGTTATCAATTCCATACATGTAAATTTTAGCCTGACTCAAATTTACAATTACACAGCGTATGACATGGCTGAAATGAACAAAAAAAGCATTTTCAGTTATTTCTATTTTAGTTATATTAATAAACGTTTGAAGAAAAAACTATCAAAGAATAGTAAATTTGACGCGGGACGTAAAAAGGATACATGCCTCTGATGGGACATATTAATATTGAAACAATGCCTAGTACAGTACTGAAGTGGAAATCGATCCACTTAACTGGAGGAGAAAAGCCTTAAATGATTTCTATATTTATACAAAATTTTACATGTCTCAAAATGTAAATTATTTTGTTCAGTATTGTATCTACTTCTCATGATCACTGGACATTAGAATCTCTCACAATTCCCCTCAGAATAGCTTGCTTTGATATTTGCTCTTAATACAATTTGATAAATTAAATGAATGTTTTTTCTTAATGACTACTGTGTGAAATGAAATGAAGACAATTTATCATCCCCACCATGTTTATAACTTAGCAAGGAAACTTATAAGATCCATCAAAGATGTTATTTTCTATTTTATGGTGTGATGTGATCTGTTTGGCTTGCATATAAACCCGGTATGTTTGGAATACATGATTCACATCTCAGGGGCTGAGATTTGTATTCTGGACTTAACAAGCAGGAAAAAGGACCAATCGGGACTCCAGAATGTACGTTCAGGTGTATGCGTCATTTGTTGTTCGTAAAAGTTCTCGTATCTAAATTTGGTAATCTTATTCGCAGTAATCGTGTAAGCTAAGGACATAACACCAATAAAACCCTTTGAAACTTAGAATGAAATATCATTAAAAGATAAAATTAACTTTTCAGTCAATTAGACCAGTTAATTTCTTTTAGTGGTAAGAAATTGAAATTAATTAATTAAAGGTTTCTACTCAAAATGTTAAAGTGAATAGTTAGGTTGATCGTAAAACAGAATACATTCTCGTTTTTTCATGTTTGAATATTAAAAGCAAACAGAATAAAGTTACAAACTCTTTTCCTTCCTTAATATTCTTGAGTTCAAAAATTATTTTGTATTTCCTGTTTCATGAATTCTTTCACACTCATTGAACCGTATTATTTACTCTTACTGTCTTATACTGTTACTGCTCTCAATACTCGGCGATCAATTTTGGTAGTTTTGTCTCCTTGTACTAATACAGTGTGTCAAATTATACTGATAAATATGTGTCAAGTGTTAGATTATTTGTAACCGACTGACTGAATATACTAAGTAGTTAGGTTGGTCATAAAACAAACAAAATACATTATCTTCTTTTCTTATTTAAATGCTAGGAGCAAATATTATATATATTTATGTATAACTATTAATATGAAAAAACTTTTTGATGATTCAAGTCATAGACTGACATATCAGTTATAAAACTACTGACGTTAGAATAGTTGACAGCTACTTCGTACTTGTTTTAGATTTTCGAAAGGTCCACAGCAGTGACCCCGTCAAAAATATAATATCAGATGAACACCATGCGTTTAGAATCACTGAGTAGGTACTCGTCAGCTTTCATCTCTAACTTCAGGCGATTTTTCATGTAAAGTGTTCTCTAACTAATCTCATTTGTAAGACATCGTTTCACTGCTAATTTCATTGTCTTTAAAGTAATATATCACCAGCTTACCTTGGTTTAACAACTACCAAATAACCAAGGAGCCACTGGATAGCTGTTTCGTCATAAAACAGGATTTCTCAGCAGTGCAGATCAACAGCACCGTGAAAAATTAAACACAGGTCTTTGGATCTCACAGTGAATTTTTAGTCTTGAAAAACACTGAGTTAGTATTCAATGGTTTTCATTCTCAAATTCTCTAGCTTAAATTTACCGATCACATATATTCAACTAGAGCTTTTGAGAAATCCATCGCAAACACATACAGTAGTGATTGGAGACTGATTTTATATTATAGAAAAGTTTTAAACTAGAAATAATGTAATTGTCCGGTGTTCTCTGATTTTCAAAGGATCGCCACCTATCTAAATAAATCTCTATCTACATAAACATATGCAAAACATTTACGTAAAACAAGGTGATTGTTTAAACTAACCTTCAATTATTTTAATTTGAAGAACTCTTATACATTACAAAATGCTGGATAATTTCTTTGATAGGAACTTTATACTGAAAATCATTTTTCGTATCATTCACTGACACTGTATTGTTCATTTCATGACAAAATAACTTCAATAAATCAATTTGCTTTCTCTTCAATACGGTTATCTCTTCAATTAGATCTATATAGTGACATATTAGTGAGCAATGGTTTTCTTTTGAAAAAATATTGAGTATAATATTTTGATTATTAAAATGAACAAGCTGATTTTTCAAGTGAAGATTATTGTTCGAATTTAAGTGACATAATACATGACTATTTGAAATTGGCTTATCAAGACACAGTAATTCATGATTCGTAACTGCATCGTTGATACGCCTTTATGGAAAAGGAATAATATAAACGAGTTAACCAGTATCAAATATACAGTGTTTGAAATACTTTATAACATGATGAAATAATGATATACAATTTACGATCTAAAGATTTCGTTAAGTGAGCAACTATCCGGAATTCAAAACACTATTAAATGGCCAGTGCGATTATTGAGAGAGAACGAATAACTAAAGTGGACAATATACAACTTTTTTATCAGTATTATGCAACCAATTAGAAAGGCAATGTCACCAAGCGATGGACCAAATAAAACTCTGCAACACCAGATTATTAATTAATACAATGTACTCCTGTTATATATATTAACTCTAGCATTGCCGACAACTTAATGCTGTGCAGCCCCATAGAAGTTATGGAGGCTGAGCGAATAGGAATTTTATAGGAATAAACAAAGTTCAGTTGTACTAAAAGACCGACTTCGGCAACAACTTATACAAACTATTTGTAAATATGTAATCTACTGCTTTTGAAAAACTGTAAACTTTCCATGTACTAGTCACTTTTTATTTTTTGTAGTAGTCAGTCAGTCAGCTACAACTTAGAACCAGTCATATATATGTAACGGTTCAAGTGGTGGACAAAACTAGTGTAACAAAGTTACAATATAATACTAGTTACCATCAAACCAGTAGAAATTCAATTTATCAAATTCCTAGCTCGACTGGAAACTGCGAGAAAATGTTTCAAAGAAATATTATTCAATATTTGTTGTCAATAATTCTTTGTTTTTCTCAAAACACATTGGAACTATATTCACACAGTATATAGCTATCATCAAATGTCAGTGACAAATGTGAGGAGCTTACTTAAATGTTAAGTCCAGACAGTTTGCGCATTTTTGATATTCTTTGTAATATTGCTCACATGACATTCTCAAATGAATACATTGTGAACACTGACAAATACTTTCACTGAAAACAGTAGCTTGGAATTCATGATTTTGAAATATTGTCCTTGTCAAAACACTATCTTGATTAGAAGTGCTTATTGTGTTTGGAAACTTTTCTTTGATACTTTCCCTGAGAATAAATGAAAAAGTCAAACTACAAGAAGTTCATAACATTTTACCACACAAGAGTGTTATCGAACTACTTCAATTGCTATTACAGATACTGATTAATCAAATATTATAAATCATAAACAGGGAAACAATCGAGTGAGTAAGATATCTCATATTTTAAGATTACGTAGAACGAAAGTTGTTGGCGGAAAATTTTATAAATTCGGATCTACTAAGCCCTCACTGTAAGACCTAAATACCCTAACTTTGTTACGCAACCAGGTCACTGGTGTATATTAGATAAGAAGTTCCAATCAAGAATAAAAATTGTTTAATATAACTTGATTTTCTACGATACTTTTATTTGATTTATTTACAAAATGCTAGTTTCTTTGTAAATATGATATACCTTATCTGAATCCTTGAGCAAATTCAATGATTTGCACTTTTGAAAATTCTAAAGTCTTCATAAAATACAATTGTATTGGATTGTATCACAAATTTCAGTTTTTGATTCTAGTAATAATATAATTGAAAGTACGTAAGTATAGTTGTTTTGTAAACAATATTACAAGCCAAATATTCTTTCCTTACATGACACAAACTGACTGACGGTTGTTCCTGAGAATAAAAACGTTTAGTTCCTTACATAGACAATTAGTATATCGTACATCATATTCCAAGATAAAACCTCGATTACTTATACTACATTTCTGTTTACTGTCATGTTTTTTTTCTTGCGAATTCATATCCATTTGTTAGGAGCGATTATATTTGTATTGCTGAAAAATTCCCATTATATTGAAACACAATTGTATGAACGAAGAATATTCTTTTCAATAATTTCTCATCAGGTTCTACAATTATAAATCCAGATTAATAATCCATAAAATTGGCCAAATTTAAGGCGAAATTCATCATTTGGAAATTGTAATATGTGAATCAGGAATTGTTTGTTATATAAATAAAATTGTTAATGTTGGGGCTGTTTTTAATATAAAGTGTTAACTTGAATCAGTTTATAAGTGAAATGAAAATGATCAGAATAAATATGGTCAACATGGGGTAAGAGAGAGAGAGAATATTGTGATTACAAATCGGAAATTGCGTAATATGTAAAATAATTAGGTCAAATATAGTAGATTCAGGGATGGATATTGAATAAATTCCTCAAAAAGGGGGTATCAAGTGTAAAGACAATAATAGTAATAATAATAGTAATAATGACAGTAATAATAATAGGTTTGGGACATAAAATGAACATTAATCAGATTACGTCATCACATTATAAGATTGATTATTAGCTAGTTGGCCAGGGTAAAAGGAGTGGCTGAAAATACTTCTTTTGGATACAAAGCTCTGGCTTTTTGATCCGAATAGCAATTGCTTCAGCCGTCTGTAGAATTCGCAGTCTGACGGAATTAGGTAGACTGCTGTTGACACGATAGATTATTGCAAAAGATTGCTTCATGTTTGCTGTATGTCCTGTTTGGACTAAATGGTCTAAGATGGAGCTGTTAACAGTTTTGACAACACCTTTGCCTAACCACACGGGTAGGTGCTCACGAGCCCGAATGTACAAATTCTTAGAACACCTGACAATATAACTTGCTCCACAGGAGCAGTTGCATTGATAGATACAGAAGGAGGTGGCTAGCCTAGGTAATTTATCTTTCAACCTCGGAGTGATTATTGGTCGTGTGGAGAATACTAGTTGTAGTTTAGCTGCATTAAAAGTCCTTTGAACTGATCTACTTAAGTCTTAACATTTCACTCAGTGCATCGCCTCTGAATTGTAAGCGCACATATAGAGGCTTTTTCTTAACCGTTGGGCATTCTCTACGCTGTCTTTTATTGGCTAAGTTTTTATTTATAAATTTCTCCGGATATCCATTTTCCTTCAGGGTTGTAAATAATGTCTTTGTTTCATCTTCAATCGTATTCGCTGTGCATATACTGATTCAAGTTAACACTTCATATTAGTCAGCCCCAACATTAACAATTTTATTTATATAACAAACAATTCCTGATTCACATATTACAATTTCCAAATGATGTACTTTGCCTTAAATTTGGCCAATTTTATGGATTATTAATCTGGATTTATAATTGTAGAACCTGATGAGAAATTATTGAAAGGAATATTCTTCGTTCATACGATTATATTTGTGTTGGTTTCTCTTTAAAAAAAATAGCAGTGATTTTTTTCGACCCCCCCCCTTACCATTAGGTCTAATATTTCAAGGTACTTTTGTGAGATGTTATCAGTTGACATTTCTTACGTCAGGAAGGTGTCATGTAATTTGCTTACAAGGCTAGAATTAAAAATCCTAAACTAGTTTGGTATAAATGTTTTTGTAGAAAAAAATTAAAACATACATAAAATTCAAACGCAGTGTACAAGGATTACACCGGATATCTAACATACAATTACGTGGTAAAATTTTTGTTCCTCTGAAGAGAGACTCAATTTCTAAAATACAAAATAATAAGAAAAGAACTAATGACAAATCTTTTTTCCAGTAAAAATGAATTCAACTATTAAAAATGAAACTCACAATTTATATCAAACTATGTTTATTCAGTTATGCAAAAAAATTTTTTACTGTAGAGGAGTTATAAAGCTTAGACTAATTTACAAGTTCCCGAGGTTTTAGTAAGAAATCGTGATCAATGGAGTTTAACTATGTTGGGAGTAACATAATCGTCACTTATGCCATTGAGTAGTCACCTAAATACATTGATAGGTCCCTCAAGTTATAAATCCGGATCGCTAAACTTCAACTACGCAACATAAAGGTATGATCCTGAATGACTTAGAGGTCATAAATTTCATCCTTGGTAAGATTATGTGCATGGACATTTGAGAAATTTAATGCAGTTATAAGATGGCTCCTTAGTGGTCTCTGATCTTCAATGACATCATAACTGGTGTTAATCAATGATGGAGACACCTACATATTTCTAGATAAAATTCTAATGTGACTGTACAAAAAGAAAACAAAATGTAGGTTATCAGTGACGTTGAAATAAGTTGTAATATATGGAGTTCAATCACGTCTACAGTGCAATAAACATAAAATATTCTTTTAAAACAATAGTATGTTTGCTTACCATTTATCAAATTATGACTGATTATAAGCTTTTGTAATAATGGAAACGGCAGCATAGGTAAATCAATTATCCTGACAAGAAAAAAAGACAATGAATCTGTATTTACAAACTGTATTCCTTTTTATCGAAGTTAATTACAGTATTTACAGAAACAAACGAAGGTTAAGATTATCTTCAACGTTTTTAAATTTAACTGTTTAAATCTTACCCTACAATCTCAGTTCTTTCTCCGTTCATTTGATGGATAAAAATGGTACATTGCTGAATAATTTTCATTAAAGTTTTCATTTCAAGCTTCGTCTTTTATTAGATTTATGTTTCCTATCAAGCACGTCAACTTGTCGAAAGGAGACAACTACGATCATAAATTAATTTAATTAATGGCGAAACTATAATTTATGGACGAACCAATCAGATTTACGATAACAAGTCTTAGATTTTGGCGCGAAATTCATTCATCCATTTGGCTAAATAAAGTCTTGGCATTATAGCTGATGTCAGTTCGTGATAAAAACCTTAAATCTAGTTCCGAACCCTAACCGTCAACTGTAAATCATAATCCTTATTCTTCAAACTGCTTTATAACCTTCATTCAGTCCTAGTAAGTAGGTAGATACTCTCAAGGTCACTTTAGCGTCCCTCAAAGGTCGTCCATATATTATGATCTCACCAAATGAAGTATATGATCAATTAAATTATGATATAATTCACTGAAGAATTAAAAATGAATCTTAAAAATAAATTACCTGTTATTGCTTACATTCAAATAAATGAGATTTGGTAACCAACTTTCACTTAACCAGTTTATTGAGGTTAAATTGTTATGATCTAAGACCAGTTCTTGTAATGTAGCGCCATAAAATCCAGTTTGAAATGGCTGGTAAATGAAGGAATTAGTAAATTGATTTACAACTCATAGACAAATTCATTTTTATAAAATTACACCCAACACTAAACACATAAACAACACTGAGAATACTCGATTACATTTAAGATAATAAATTCATGATCTTTAAACTTATTGAAGTACAAATCAAACAACAACCGGTAAAAAACGAAATTTTAGTTTGAGCTGATAAGTAATGCTATCAAATGAAAGTTACATCATTAACTTGACAAAACTTTAAATAAATCGATTATAAAAGAAATAGAATACATTGATAAAGCCAATTTGTACTAAACATTTTTTTCGAGTAACTTTTCTCTTCATACAACGTAGAAACAGAACCACTTCTATTTATTGAAATTTATTTGGTAAAATTAAACATTTACACTGCACTATGGGTCCATAGTGTTCAAAAGTTTCAACGTAGACCAAAACAGCCATTTCTAACTTCGTAATCATTAATATTTCTCCAACTTCAATCATTTTATGATAAGAATCATATTCAAACTACATAAACCCTTTAGAAGAGCATTTTAATTAAATAAATTAACCTAAGAAATAAAACAAATGAATAGATAGCCTACACAGTGTTTAAAACAATCATATGAAATGTAATATGGAATGATCCTAAAAGCACCTAATATAAGTATATAATAAAACTGATACTTGAATCAGTTATAGAAACTTTACATCATCTTTGAACTGAAATATCTTTATCGCTAATTTGACATTATACAGAACACCGGAAATTTAACTTTTTGACACTAATATTCATGTAAACGAACAAGCCTATCATTCTTAAATCTTATTTTTCAAAACTCATAGATAATTTTATATCTTTAGGTTGACAGGTATCAATGCCAAGACTGAACTTGCTAGTTTCAAATAAATTAAGCATTTGGCATAAAGTTAATAATAAATAGATTTTTTGTTATATCCTAATGAGTAGAAAAATTGTATTCCTGACGTATTCTTTGTAAGATTTAAACTTGTGTTAACTTGATTCGGTTATTTATTCACTATGAAGAAGTGGCCTACATTAAGTTACGAAACGTCTACTCATTAGGATATAACAAAAAATATATTTATTATTAACTTTAGGTTAATAATTCCAACAGCAAAATAATTGTATTAAACGATACGTGTATCCATTAAGATAATGGATTCCTAACTCCAACTTTGATGAGAAGGAAGGAGACTGCTTCTTATCCTCTTCGCTACTTGCTAACTATAAATAAAATTTACGAGCTCTGTCCAGAAGATTTATTCCATTACGAGATTATATAATGCAAAACTCTCACGCAAATATGTATTTATTGCGCCCATGAGTACAAAGTAACAAAATGTAAACGAATCAATGGGGTAACAACAATCGAGGTGTACAGAACAAGCTGTGAAACACATATGGAGAAATTTGAACACTTCACTTATACCTGAAGTTTGTGTTGATGATGTCGTTCATAAGAACGATGAAAGCTCCACGACCAAACCATCCAGCTCAGAGAACAAAACTCCATCAAAAACAGATTATCTTAAAGATTAAATTTCTTCAACAAATCTTTTTAAAACTTATGGAATAAAAAATTTAAGCACATACCTTATTTAAAGTATTTGAAGATAATTGTAACCTAGTGATATTTAACAGAGATGTTAAGTCTTCATCAATAACAGTTAATTCATTGTCGGATAAATCTAACAAATTAAGATTTTCATTAGTCCATTTTGTATTTGAAGGTTTTATTTGTATATTTGTGATAAGATTACTTGTTGCCGTAAGTTGATAAAGTTTAGGAAATGAAATGACCAAATTTTGTATATCTAACAAAAAAGATAAATGACTAGTGTATTGCAGGTTCAAATTAAATGATATATAAATATACATTTTTTTTAATGGTAAGGCTCGTTTTTCTAGTCGAAAAAAACTGACTGAGTGTATAAGTGATTTTGAAAGACAATTTAGTTCCTCCTTAGCAAAATAAATAAAGACTATTGAACAATTACAATTACTAGTATGAGATACATTTTATATTACTTAGAAACGATTTGATAAACATCCATAACAATAATGAGACAATCATTATAAAAAACTTTTGGATGATCATCACATCATATTGTAAATTAATTGAAGTTGTAATTATGAGAAAATTCAACAGTCTAGAGATAATGTACTCACTGCGACACCTAGAGGTCCAAGACTCGAGCCACAACAGGTTTGTACAGCTGAACAGTTCTACACTAAACAGAAATAATTATCCATTGGATCCTAGTTTCTAATATCACCTCCAAACGATCTTAATCTATTATGATTACTACCCATAAACTAAATGGTTCCCTGTTTGTTTTCTGTATAGTAAGGCATCGAATTTCATTATCAATATTTAATTAATTGTTAATACTATTCTAACATTACTAATTTTTAATTTTGAAATCATCATAATATTTTTCATCACTATTTGAAAACTTACCCAAATTTGTAATATAATTCGATGAAATATCTAACATTAAAAGATTAGGAAAGTATCCCATTATATCTGAAAGTTTTGTTATTTTATTATGAGCTAATTTCAATATAGTTAATTTGGATAAATTCATTTCATTTAGGTTCATACCATTAAGATGATTTCTCTACAATATATCAGACATTAGAAAAACATTTGGCTAGAATCCAGTTGCTTATTTTCATAACAAAATTGTTATACAACTTTAAAAACAGAACTTTCAACAAGATTTTATTTTCAGAAGGGGTTTTGTGGAGATTTTAGAAACTTCACTGATTAAAATGATGAGTCAGTTGAAACCAGACCATCATGGAAGACCTGGAAGCACTGAACGACCGTTTCGTCCTAGTATGGGACTTCTCAGCAGTGTGCATCCACGGTCCCGCATCCCGCGAGATTTTATTTGTTGGCTTCTTACAGATTAAAGTGATATTTTGTCTAGAAACTCAAGAAAAATGTTTCTGTCTGGGTTTAATGACTACTTTTCCAAATGAATTATAGTACTTATGTAGTGAACAAGAACACGAGTGGGGACATTCGAATGTATTTGAAGAGAAATCACAGAGCATCTCACTAAAATCTGAGAACCGTATAGTAAATAGTTAACTTGCAAAATATCAATCCATTGTCTCAAACTTGACTGTTCCTTTTGAAAATATCAATACATTGTCTCAGATTTCATTGTTCATGCATTTTCATACCAACTGCGTTCCGTTTCCGTTCTTTCCTTGTCGACCTTTTACTGAAATACATTCTATACCCAACCACTGTTATAAACTATTTATGTGGATATAGGTAACCCACACCACACTTAGAAATGACATTATATCAGAAAATAAATTAGACACAATAAATTGTACTGTATCTGTCCTCGATGGAACTCTGAGTCTCCTTTTGATTTACTGATGTTAGATATTATAATAATTACGATTTTTACGACAATTCGTTGGAAAAAAACTGGTAAAATATATAATGAAACCGATAACTCAATGCGTTTTAGTTTTACTTAATTCATTATTCAGATAGTTATTGCTTTAGAAATTGGTTACAAATGTTCAGACAGATGTCATCCAGTTTCTAAATCAACAAACTTAGTAAGATAGTGCGATTAAGTTCAGTTTTCTCATTTTTCTTTAAATATCATTGTAAAACAATTCATTTTTAATGCAGTATTACTTAAGGTTAATAAATGTTCCTACATTTGTAATCTTAGAGAATTAGTAAACTGGTTTCACATAATAAGTTATTTCTTAATCAGTAGGGACTTCTACCTGAATAACATTTATGCAAAACATATTGATTATAAAATAAAGCAGAAAAATCCAGTGGATTGCATAAATTTGGTGTCAAATTAACCTATCTTTATAGATTTTTCTAATAGCTTATGTCGAGTTATGTATGTGTCAATGTTTCATATTTGAATGCTAAAAACTGATTCTCGGTAAATCATCCAAACTCTACAGGGTATAAGTTATTACGAGTAATTCATGTCTTCAGTTGCAATCCCTAAAAAACATTATTAATCTATGAAATAAAGCACTTTTTTATTGTTGAATTATGTATGAATTATGTACGTCAATTAAAAAATGGAGTTACTATAGAAACGTTAACAAACATTTAAAATTGATGAGTAAAATTTTTCAGGTATTTGCACATATTCAAAAAAGGTTTACTTACACTTGCATCTAAAAATTCCAGATTATTTAGTTGAGTTATACCTTTAAGATCATTTGGTTTCAGATCACATTCATTTATTATTAGAAACTTTAAAAAAGTGAAGTATGTTGAAATACTACTGAAATTTGTTATTCCAAATTTAACATTGAAAAAGTTGAGACAGACTGCCTGAAACCAAAAATAGTTATTATAAAAACAAATTATTCAATGATAACATATATTACACTGTGAAATTATTGAGCTGATAATACTATTACATATAATGATAAACAGCAATGAAATAAAACTATCAAACAACATGTATTCCACTATGGTATAAATGGAAAAATGACAATCCAATAATGTATCAGAAGGGGTTTTTTGTATATTATAGTAATTTTAGTAGTTGAGATCATGAATCAATTGAAGCTAAACCACCATGGAAAGCCTGGAAACACTGAACAACCGTCTCGTCCTAGTATGGGACTTCACAGCAGTGTGAATCCTCGATCCCGCCTCGCAAGATTCGAACCCAGGACCTATCAGTTTCTCGCACGACCGCTTAACCACTAGACCACTGAGCCGGCATCCAACGGTGTTAATGTCTAACTTCAACCAATCCACGAAATTGAGCGACACATCCACCATTGTCTTCAGTGAGTTCCTATCTCACAACTGACCCAGTTGAACTCCACTGGTCATGGTCGTCTAGTACTTCTAGGTTTTCCATGGTGGTCTACCTTCAGTTGACTCATGATCTCAACCATTGAAATGAACAACCTAATAATCGTTTAATTTTCAGAGTAATTTACGTTATCTCTAAAAGAAGTTTTATAAAGACGTAAATTTCTTTCAATAGTTGTCTTTATTTCACAAATTATTTGTAAGCGTTATTATTTTGTTTACTGCCTTTCTAAGATGTTCAATCCAAACTACTATGGTCCAGATTCTAGTAGAGTATTTAAGCTTCGTTTTCTATAATTAGTTGATAAAGTTTAACTTTTCTTCAGACAATATCTAGACTATAGACTATACCAAAAATAATCATCAGTTTAAACCGAACTTAAACATTTATATCAATTAAGCGTCTCTCTATTTATTTCTTTATACGTCTAAGAGACTATGAAAGTGACTATGAAAGTTACCACATTACTCATGAAATCTACACTAAATTATTAATAAATTAAACTAACACAGTTTTCATCAATTGTTTGTTAATTAGAATATTATACATATATATATATATAACAAATTGTTCTTCACTAGTGGACAGTCATTGTTATACTTAGTATATAAAATAAATAATGTATGGAAAACATACTTGACAGCTTAATTCATTCGTAACAATAGATGGTTGTGTTTTAAGATTAGTATTACGTGATGTTGAATGAATAATTTGTTTATGAATATATTCCATTAGATTAGTTGTTTGAGTTGATTCTTCACTTTGTTCAATCTGTAAAGACTTGTTCAACCTTTTGTAAATGTGAAGAGAACAAAATTAATCTATCAATAAATGGTTTGATATTTATTAAACATTACGTAACAAATTGAACACTTGATAAAAAGTTAATAATCAATATATATATTTCATTTTGTTATATCTCAATGAGTAAAAAATTGTATTTCTAACATTTAGTAACTAATTGTGGGCTATTTTACATGGAAGAAATGACTTACATTAAGTCACAAAATATCAGTAATACAATTTCCTATTAATTGAGATTTGTATCAGGAGGGGTTTTGTGGAGATTGTAGTCATTTCAACAGTTGAGATCATGAGTCAATTGAAGCTAGACCACCATGGAAAACCTGGAGGCACTGGACAGCCGTTTCGTCCCATTGCAGGACTCCTCAGCAGTGCGCATCCGCGACCACGTCTCGCGGGATTCGAACCCAGGACCTACCAGTCTCGTGCCAGGCGCCTAACCAACTAGACCACTGAGCCGGCGTCCAACAGTGTTAATGGGATGTAACAAAAATTATATGTTTATCATTATGTAACAATGTAATGAAACCACTACAAACAATTTGATTTTAAATGTTTGATGATTACAGTTTCAGGTCAGTTACTACTTCACAAAGAATATGTACATCTGCAATAATAAATTATTTACGAGACTTTTAATAGCGTAGCAAGATAGATTTAGACATTTTTTCTGTTATATCTAGAGCTTAGATTTTTAATATACCGCGTACAAATTGAGCACTCGAACGCTAGAACCCTTCAAGTCGCAAATAAGAAGGTAGAAGACAAGTGAAATGAATGATATTTTAAATAATGTCAAGTATGGTACAAAAATATCAGGTATTTATAGTCTTTTTAGTAAAAGCAAAATTATCATTATAGACATCCAACCTGAATGCAGGGGGTTTTAGCATTTGTCCATTAGGGAAGCTACACGTAGAGGTTTTGGAATATTCTTTCAAAAGATGATTAGATGAAGTATCTTCGGCTCTTCCTGAGCTTCTTAGGGCTTCCTCGAGTTCACTCGTGAACCGTCCTCACAATTTCATTGTTTACTAACTCACACTGAATTAATTACCGTTTATGAATTTTAAAGTCTAACAATATTTATACTTGTCAGCTATCAATTACTTTCAGTTAAACATATTTTATGCGGATTTCTAACATCGTAGCAAAATTTTTCGATTGAGATCATAAACCGATTGATGTTAGACCATCACTGAGAACCTGGAATCACTGGATGGCCGTTTCCCCCTATTGTGGGGCTCCTCAGCAGCGCGCATCCGCCATCCCTCCCGCGGGATTCGAACCCGGGACCTATCAGTCTCGCGAGCGAACGCTTAACCTTTAGACCACTGAGGTGACATTGTTAACGGTGTTAATGTCTAACCTCAACCAATCAGCGAAACAGCGCGACCATCTTCCATTGTACTGAGGTAAATACCTGTCTCTACCCGACACGGATTAACTCCACTGGTCACGGTAAAACTTTTTGCATTCAGTTAAATTACTGTAATCTGCGTTTATTTGATTTATTAATTTAATAATGGTACCTTCTCTAAGCCGAATAATTTTATTGCAATGCAATTAATGTTGTTTCATACCCAATCATCAGTGTTTACTTGAATTCCTAATTAAATACTGTTATGCAAAACGACAATAAAAGTTTTACACCTGGCTCATATAGTTCAAAGCACTTAACATCACTTAAAACATTCACAGAAACTATTAATCTTCCGAATTATTTCGAAATATTTACCAATAAACATTATGAAATGTTGAAATGAAGTTAAGCATATGATTGGAATTTATTTTGTTTTAAAAACCTGTTGGTAACTAATTCAATTCAATATATATTTCAATACCGGAATTAACCAGTCACTTAAAACTGAAATGAATTCATAGGACAATATAAACGACTTTAACAACACTTATCATAATATGTCTATATAATATTTTCTTACAGCCTACAGAGCATAGATTTTGTCCCAGTTGTCTATAAGTAGAATGTTAGTTATAATATTTAAAAGCCTTCGATTTGATTCCTCATTAGATTCATGTTGAGTATTTCCGCACTACAATGTAATACGTGTTCGATAATCATTGATTTTGACTAATGTTCTCACTGATGTCACTCTATAATGAATACCACCTATAAATTAAACAAATCTTCATCGAACTTCTTAACAAAAGTGAATTATATATTAATTATCAATAGTGTTAAAAACACATCTCTGATATTACTGACATAGTGAAAAATACTGGGTCACAATGTGAAAAATTGGGTTGTTCCGGAACCTTCAAATACTTTAACAGTCTATTATTAAGTCTAAAATTTTAAAATGTTTTCATCTTTAACTTCGTACCTCAAAAAGTTGCTGTTGCAGTTTTCTGATCCAGATAAGGAAATCTCCGGTATTGAAATGACATCATTTTTCACATTTTCATGCAATGTTTGAGCAGCACAAGATGTCATAGATGTGAATTCATAGGTTGAATCATTGTCATCAGACAACGCTATTGCTCCTGCAGCCAAAGGATCAAGAAAACAAACTGCTTTCTCACCAGTTTGTTCAGTTTTAACATAGTGATTGCCAGTAATATTAGATACTTCTACAACTGACCTGCTTAAATAGTATTTAAAATAATCACAGTGCTACTCTAATATACAGAAATTAATATGCAAGAATTCAGATGACTATAAATTATAATGCAAATCATAGTTACTTTTAGAAACAAAATCCTGATATTTTTCACAAGCAAACTCATTCCAACGGTATTATATCACGATATACCTCGTTAACAAAATTGATTGTTGTATAGATATCACATAATTAAAACTGGTTTCTAAATACGTAGAGCACGGCTGAAAAATTTCATTATATATCTAATCACATATCTAATAAGTTCGTCTCTGAACTAGGTATGAATTAAGAATACGTAAAACAATCAAAAACAAGATAGACATACAAATTGATACAGGGTATCATCCCCACGTTTTGATGAGAGAATGTACTTCCCAAAATAAAGTGATTTGCCAAATAAGATTTATCACAGATTCAAACAAAATTAATCGCTCCCATAAGTTTGTCAAATATAATTTGATAGAACATATGAACTGAGAGCTACCAATATATTACGGATTATGAAGAAAACAAGACAATTCTCAAATTACATTCACATAACAGAATATCAAACATTACATTGCAAAATTAATGTAAAGAACTAAGGCGAACCAATGATGATTAGTTCAATCAGAGACAACCAACGAAACACCACCTATTCTTACCAGTAAACAAATCATATCCACTAGACAATGTGGTGATTAGGAGGAAATAACAACGTTTTATCACAGTGATTAAAAATCTAGTAATAAGTCAATGTCTAAGGTTGATTTAATCATTCTTATCAAACAATGTTATGACAATCATCCTGGATGATCACGCCATATTTCAATCCTGATTTGAAAAACAACATTGACAACTTCCAATTGGTTTTCTATGATACATATCGAAATTATTTTACTATGAAAACATAAAACCTAGGTAGACCCATCAGAGACCACTCAGGAAATAGCAAACCGAAAAATAAAAAAACAAAAGCTCCCGAAACTAGAATATTATTTTTCTAACATTGTTTTCACAACTCTTCAAACAAACATGATCATCAATCTGTTCGCACATCAAAATCAACCTGCAGCTCATACCTATCAATCTCATCACAAACATTTTGATATGTAGACGAACCAATCGCCACAACAGGACAGTGATTAGTCACAGACTCCATACCCAACTCTTTTAAGTCACTTAAATCCAAAGACGGTGAGTGACATGTCTCACCAACACCATAGGCTAGCTGGAGTTTCAAAGAACTTGAGGTACCAGGACCAGAAACCTTATCATCTTCGGTTGGTTTAGTTGGGACAGTGAAGTTGGCAGCATTGGCAGAAACTTCAACAACCGATAGTCTGCTAGAATGCAAACAAGAGGGGTGTAGATAAGTAGTTCAATGTTACTTTTGAAAGAGTTTATAAAGTGATATATATTACAGAAAGCCATACACAATTTATTGTACATACAAAGGAGTACTGAACTCGTACAATAATCAGGAAGTAGATTCACAAAAGTCATAAATCAATTATAAAATGAACTGCGGACAACGGATTTAGATAGAGATTAGGCATTATAGGATTGCAATATTAAAGGAAAATAACTGATTAATAAAATAGGCAATTAAAATCCTGTATTCATTGTATCTTGAACATTTTTATTGCACAGAAGTCCATGTTCATTACATTTTGTGTGCAATATATCAATTTTATTAACTCATTTGGTTTTTATTCACATGAAAGTAGAATCACAGAATCGTTTAAGCAATCAACATTGTTGATTATAACTGATTTTCCATCATATTCTTTTTAACTATTTTATTTCCATCATCCCTTTCTTAATTTGCGCTGATGATTTTGAAACAACGGTTTTCATTATATTTCTAATGATATGACCATTCACTTTACGAGGATTTGCATTTTCTCTCTGTTGATATAAAGAACTATAATTGATTAGTCTCCATTCGCATACGTGCATCCTGAACGGAGTGCCTCGAGATTGTCACCTAGCTATATGCACTTCAGTAAAGTTTGGTGCGAGCTAACAGTTAGATCCAAGATGCCCGCTTAGTTTTATCTGGAATAAACTGCTAGTTATCTAAACTCAGACGTCTAATGGATGGCGCGTTCACCATTTAAAGCGAAAGGTTCTGAGTTCAAGTTGTACTGTGAATATCAAAACTTGGACCCAAGCATATCTAGCTAACTAGTCCTAAATAGGACGGAGCACACATCATGGGTTCCATTACTTCTATCATTCATTTCAATACAGAAATTGAGTTTTTCATCACTTTCACTTATCGATTTATTTGTCGTTGTTTGTCCTAATTCTCTACTCTTCTGCTTGATGGTTCTAGTTATTATTCTTATTCTTCTCCTCTATATCATCTTTAAGAAATTATTTTGATGCAAATAGTTACTACTTTTAACATCGTTCATGAGTAACTGATTAACTAGCATTTTAGACGGTTAAAACTTGGATTCGAATAATTCATGAGATAAACTTACCCAAACTCTTCGACTTTACACCTTGAATAGTTTTCTGTATTAGTGACAACTGTCTCAGTTTTTTTCTGTAAACAACTGTCTAAAAATAGAAAGCTCATTTATATAATAACCACATTCACAACCAGCTCCCCAACACCTTGTTCTCGCCTCATCAGGTAAACCAAAATAATAGCCGAGATTTCTTTCAAGTAACTTAGTTCTATCACAAAGTTTTCCGGAATTTGAACGTCGCTCAACAGCAGACTGAGGTCTTACTTTATATTCATCATTAAAATATCTTGTGGTTAGGTTTATTTGTTCAATATTCAACAAAGATCTGGAACAAATTGTAAACTAATGATAATTTGGTTCATTCAAACAATAAGCACAATATTTTATAAATAAATAAGCATAATTGTTCTTAAAAGCAAATATCTACATCAAGAACTTAGGGTTCTTTATTTTCACATAATAATACCTAGGGGAAATTATTGATAAATATTTCTGATAAATGATTTCTAGTATTGATGGGTCAAGCTCAAATGATATTACGATACCACTTAACAGGTGAACAAAAATACAAGTGAGGTAATCGAATGTATCTAGACATAGAATTACAGAACATCTTACTAAAATCTGAGAACAATACAGTAAATACTTAATTTGCAAAATATCAATCCATTGTCTCAAGCTTGACTGTTTCTTTTGCAAATAATAGTCCATCGTCTCAGATTTCATTGTCCCTGCCTTTTTATATCAATCGCTTTCCGTTCCCGTTCTTTCCTTCTCGATCTTCTACTGAAATCCATTCTATTCCTGACTATCGTTATATACTACATATGTGGATATAAGTAGCTCAAACTAGAACATCAGTAGACTACTTTCAATGATCATATCATGCATCTATTGAAATAAAACAACTTCGTATACTAGAGGACGAAACAATAATTTAAACATAAAACAATCAATGGAACTGGATCGAAGAAAGGTCGAATCAAAAAAGCTTATGCACTGCTGAGGTGTTGGCAATCTACCAATTTAAACCCGAACTCTGAGTACAAAAACGATACGTTCAACCTCTCATCTTTACGTGGCCTTAATTCCCTTCTGCAGTATACTTTGGTCTTGTTGAGTTGTTTTTAAATTAGTACTTTGTAATTTTATACTGTAATCAGTAATTATTACCCTTTAACAAATTTTCATGATTACTATTCTGCTAGTATTATGACCTTTACGATTTTCATTTTCCTTCATATCTGTCACATGGACAATTATCTTTCATAATTCGGACCCGTAAATTATTTTCATCCTCCTATTCTTATCTAACCCCTTGATTATTACGTAACCTCACTTAGAATTTGAAATCTCGAATCCCTTTGTGACATAATCATTTCTATCTCTCGATAGACTAATATATTTACCAAACAATTATAAATATAGATTCAAAGCTTAAGTAAACAATTTCATCGAAAGGAAAATCTCCTTCGTTGAATTCCATTTATTTTCATGCGATGACATAATGAATTATCTTAATTGTCACGAAAGATTAAAACCATACCCTACGCCTAATAGATAGGCCTTTAGTGTTTCCTATCTTTTAATAATTCCCAATCTGATATTAATCAATGGGGAAAACGACCTACAAAATATTAACTTTTGTATCATTTTACTATTCATAAAAACGCTTGTCAGTCAATAAGAGCTGCTTCGTTAAGGAAGAGCTCGAAACAGGTCTGGATGTATGACCGATTAACTGAAAACCGAGTTCTCCAATTACTTCCTCGTCTCTTCGAATGATATGAAGACAACTGTATGAAGTCTATAAGGTTGCTAATATTTTACATATTCTTTACAACACATAAAACCTTAGTTATAATCGTCAATAACTGTCAATACTCTTTTGGAGAAAACAAATCAATTCATTATTTTTTTGTATTTTGTTAACAATATACATAAGTAAAAGTCATTAATTTTACTAAAGAATTCCTACAAGGGAAACTTTTTAAATTCCCTTGATTATCAGTTCCAAAAACTCCACAACTGATATTTTGCTGCTTAATTTAGAAGTCCATATTCAATTATCAATCCGACAGACATTTTCAAACATAGACTATCGATATATATAAATCCTAAGAGCCTGATCAAGTGCAGTCCTAATCATCAATGGGAAGATTCAAGTAAAAAATACCAAGTGAATCCTAAACTACGTTAGAACTTTATTAGTAAAATATAAATCTTACCGCCAACAATGTAGTTGATAATTTGAATTAGCTGTAAAGGAGTCACTTTTAATTTGTTGAATTTGTTTCAAATGTTCTAGTTCAGATTTCATTTCATTTTCTAATTCTTTTAAACGATTCTGTTGTTGTTTTTTTAGGATAGAAAATTTATATTTTATTAACATCCTTACATTTATTAGTTTGATTACTAAGAATAAAATAATAAATCTGTTGGCTATTTAATTTAACGTATGTAATCCAATTCAATTTTTTTATAATTACTATATACTATATTACGCCTTCATAGAAAAAGTTTGCCATAAAAATATGTGAAATTAAAATTTGTGTACTAGTGCAAAAGGCTAATCTTACATTTTATAGTTGAATTCACGAGTCAGCTGAAGCCAGACAACCATGGAAAACCTGAAAGCACGGGAAGACCGTTTCGTTCTAGTATGGGACTACTCAGCAGTGCATATTCACGACCCCACGCGCGGGATTCGAACCCAGTGCATATCCATCTCGCGCGCGAACGATTAACATCTAGACCACTGAGCCAACATCCAATGGTGTTAATGTCTGACTTCAACTAATCCACGAAATTGAGCCACCGTCCACCATTGTTTTCAGTAAGTTACTATCTCACAACAGATCCGGTCGAACTTCACTGGTCACTGCCTCTCACTAAAACTCCAGGAAATATCTCTTAAAGCTAGTCACTAGTGAGCATACGATGATTATTATCAGAAGGGCGTTTTGTGGAGATTTTAGTAATTTTATAGTTGATTTCATGGCGATCTAGCTTCAATTGACTTATGAATTCAACTATAAAATTACTAAAATCTCCACAAAATCCCTTCTGATAATAATCTTAAACTTACAGATTAAAATAGAATAATTTTGGAACACTTTTTTAAAATTCCATTCTTTTTTATTCAGTTACAAAGAACTACTGCTCTATTCATCTTTTTACTCAATACCAAAATGGAATAAAGTAAATGTTAATTCTTGAATGAACTTACATTAAGATACGCTTCTTCAGATTCCAAATCAGGAAACTTGTCCAAACTCATTGAATTATCAACTTGATTGTCATCCTGTAAAATTAACAAGATCCGAAAATCACTATTATTCTGTAATATATGAAATATTCTTGAAGATTGATTCTTTAATATAAAGTAAGCACTGGTTGAAAACCATGGATCACTGAATACCACATTGGTTTAGCCCAACGTTCTTATGTAGTACTTAAATCTACAACCTTATACGAAACGGGACCTAGGTCATTCATTCCTTGAGGCGAACACTATACCGCGAATTTGTTAAGTTAAAATCTAATGGTTTTTGTTTCCGATTTCAAGCAATTTCTTAAACAGTATGCATTAATAATAATGAGGAAGAATGTGTTTGTACAATCTCAGCGAATGAAGTTGCAGTAGATCCAACCTTTTGCTTGGCGATCTAGTTCAAGCTTTTTCAAGGGATTATCAAATTCATCAGCTGAGATTTTACAAATACATTTTTCTTCATTAATGTTTCACATCAACTCGGATCCCAAATACTGTGAAACTATTCGATCAAATTTAGACTAACGTTCTTATATAAAGTCTGCACTAACAGTTTAATATAGGGTTTAAAGTGAATGTTCACTTTTTATCTTTAATCTATTTGCCATACTGAGTAAAATCATCATTCACCAACGACGTTAAAATTTTAGCTAAACAACTGACTTACTTGATTCCAAAAGTTTAATTATCTCATCAATACATTAGAAAATTCATTTCCAAACAGATCATTAGTAATCACTTGATTAACAATGAACAATGGTATTTTAATCCCTTTCGATTTTAATTGGTATTTACTCTAGGATATGTAAGTTTATGTTAAAAATGATTATCATTGAATAAACAAAAATACACAATGTATAATGTAAAAAAAAGAAAACCAAATCTTCTCTTTAAAAAAGATCATACCGATAAACAACATATTTAAAGTTTAAAACACAATAGTACTTACATTGAGTTGATTGCTCAAATCATTTTCTTTTGAACTAAGACAAATTTCATTTAAAGGAAGATTGGTTTTGTTTATCCATAGTTTTGCATTCTCTAAAGTATCAATATAATTTTCCCATTTCTGTATTAAAAAGGTAAAATGTGATAAATAATTGTTCCGAAAATAAATAAATAAATGAAAAATGAATTCTAATAGATTCTAATTGTTTTATTAAAAAAATTCTCTTACTAAGGATATACTTCTAGATTAATTTTAGTAGTTGAGATCATGAGTCAATTGAAGCTAGACCACTCTGGAAAGCCTGGAAGCAGTGGACGACCGTTTCATTCTATTGACTCATGATCTCAACCATTGAAATTACCATAATATCCACAAAAATCCTTTTTGATACTTCTAGATTAGTAAATTATTTCCAAGGTTTGAATTGTTCTTATATCCGTAGATTTTGACGACATTCTCATTAACATCTTTTGTTGGATTCTTTTTAGTTTATAACTTTTTAAGCATCTTATTTCATTTGACTTGATATATATAGAAACAGGATATACTCCAATGAACATCATCAACAAAAGTATAACAAGAAAAACGGAATAGTTTGAGTAAAATTGAAATGAGAAACTTTTAGTCTCTTTTTTGTCTCATCCACTGGTACTGATTAGTTTTTTTCTTAAAAATCACTCAAACAGTGTATTCAAACAAACATAGTTTCATTTAAAAATCTATCTACCGTCAAAAACAAAAACTGTTTGTGAAAAATATGTCACTCTTACAAACATCACAACCTGAAATATAGTATTGACTTGTGTATTTTAATTGCAATATCATCTACTTGTCAAACCTTTTGAGATGATGGAGAAGATTTGTAGCTCAGGCGGATGATTTTGATGGAGTTTTGTTCTCTGAGCTGGATGGTTTGGTCATGGAGCTTTCATTGTTCTTCTGAACGACATCATCGGCACAAACTTCAGATAGAAGTCTATCCAGTTCACAGAACAAAACTCCATCAAAAACTTGTCAAACCTAATAATTTTCTAATCAAACGAGTCAAAACAGTACAATTATAATGGTGAGTAATTTCAACGTACAGCGAAAAACCATGTCAATTACAAAACAAGTATTTACCAACTATTCTTTTTTGTGGCACAGTTTTCAAATACTTAGAAGTCTTTCTTGTAAGATAAGTTCAAGGATACGATGAAAGGAAATGTATTTTGCTTGGTGTTTGGTAAGAAAATCGCAGTTGAAATAGATGACAAAATTGATAATTGATACAAACATTCGTCTATATTGGGACGAATAGTTTGACAGAAATAGGGCTCCGAATATGGAGAAGACATTATTTGTTAAAATTATATTTGAAATAGTCTCAGCAAATAAAGTTTAAGTAATTCCAACTGGTAAATCTTCTAAATGAACTCTTGAATCGATTTCTTAAGCTCTTCTAGTAACCCCAGGCTAAATGTACACGGCAACTTGAACACGAAAGAAAAGGTGCGAAATATCGAAAAAACGCCTATTTTCAAGATTTGTTTTATGCACAGAAAATTTAAGGTATTTATAGCATTTCAGGTAGTCTTGGGCTTCTAGAAAGTCCTGGAACCCTACTAAGCATAGTTGCAGGATTGGTAATCATTCAGTCAGAAATGTGACATGTAACTCCTCACTTTCTAAGCGTTCCTGAGAAACTTCTATTCAATGCTGATTGTACACAATGTTTCCCAGCTTTTCCCCGGTCTTTTCCGGGGAACTTTCCTGTAGAATTATTCAAATCTTAGAATGTCTTTTAGAAATGCGGTTTGTTCTGATAAGATCACTATATCCTCTTAATGACCATCAATAACTGCTTTGTGTTTATCTCGTGTATTTTTTAAAGAAACCTTTTCACTTAACAACGAATGTTAATGCAAAAGTGTTTTTTTCAATTTACAGTTTTCCTCATCATAAATAATACCTAACAGATTTCTCTAATTTAGCGGCTTTAATTGAAAAAATGGAAGTTTTGACCAATTTTCTTTCTACTTACTGAAATGTTCATTTTGTGTATCGTCTGTTATAATGCATTTTGAAATTTTATATCAGGAAATAAATTCTGAAAATTCAAAATTTCATGACAGAACTGTATTGAACAACTGGATAACAACCATTCAACAACGGCTTATATGTGCTCCATTTTTATTGTAATAACAGAAATTTCATGCTTTATTTTACTATGATATTTCTTTACAAATGAAATATATTATGAATTTAATAGTTAAATTCATGAGTCATTTGAAGCTAGAAAACCTGGCCCTTTCTTTCTAGTATGAGGCGCATCCACGATCCCGCTTTGTGAGAATCGGACCCAGGACTTATCGGTCTTGCGTGCGAAAGCTGACTTAGTGGTCTAGAGGTTAAACGTTGTGGAGTTTGTTGAGTTTTTGATTGATATCATATATATATATATTATATATATATATATATATATGTTAAAATATCACGTTTGACTAATTAACATTGGGATTTGCGATGCTCTATAAAAGTTATATACATATACGTATATATATGCTAAAACTTCCTTTAGACCACACAGTATTTCCGTGTTTGAACTGTTTAAATTTACAATTGGATTAATTTAACAAATAAAAAAATTTTCTATTCTCTCCTAACTGTAATAAAATTTTACAACTGGTTCTGTTCAGTCTCTAATGAATATTTAAAACTGTCCAAAAATTTCCATCATTAATTTAAAGATAGTTCATATGATCAAAATATAGTATTTTTTTTCAATGCATATATTTCAGGCTCTATGGTTACACACTTAAATAAATGATCTAAATGAATGTTGAAGTTTAAAGCAAATGAAGGTTTTTTGAAATTACAGTTTATGAATTTATGATTATCAGGTAATAAAATGAAATTGTTAATATGAAAATGATTAGTATGAATAATTATGAAATATTGTGTGTTTGGAAATCACCAAGCAACTATCCATCTTTGCTTAAAAAGCTTGTGACTTAATGTTATATAGAGGCAATTCGCATAGAATGCACATATGTCAACATAAAACTGATTAAGTGTAGTCCTAAATAACAATAGGAAGATACAAGTAAAACAAAATCAAGTGAATTTAAACTTCACCCCATTGCACAAACAGGTGGATCTCAGGATTCAGTAGTTAAGTGGATAATGTGATGGCGTGATGGATTCGAGTGTCGAAATTAACATCAACTCTGTGATGCAGGTAGATCCAGCTGACGAGTCCCAAATGGTACGTAACGTGAATCGTGGATTCCATTGCTAGTCACTATCCATCTTTACTGTAAGTAATAGTTTGAAATTTTCGATAAATTGCTTAAGATATATAAAAGTGAATTGTAAGATAGGCTAACAAGTCCAGCTTCGACTTTATTAGATTTAAAGTGTTGTTATTGTGTTTTTTTTAAAAAACATGATATACACAGTGAGTATTGACAAAATATTGGTTACTGTTATTTGATGAATATCTATTGTTTATGAGCAAAGATAGATGGTGGATAGCAGTGGAATCCGGGATGCGCGTTTCGTCCTATTTGGGACTAGTCGGTTAGATGTGCCTGGATTTCAGAGTTGATATTCACTCAGGAACTTGAAGCCAATACTATTAGCTTCAAATGCCATCGCGTTATCCACTTAGCTATTGTTTGTTTATTGTCTCAAAATTCTTTGATGTTATTCCCGTGACCAAAGCTGATTCAAAGTGTTTAGTAAATTTCGAAAAATGATACTGTACTTAATGGTGATCCTGTGCTTACTATAACAACTATTAGTCAAATATGAGTTTCTGAAATTTAATGAATTTCAATCATTTGTTCGTCCTGAGAAGTGATTCATGACTGTAATAATGTACGTTTGGATTAATTAGGTCTCCCACAAGTCTAGTAATGGAACTATAAAAACGTTATATTTTAAGGACATTGAGATTATGCCATACAGAAATTTGTCTATGGTACTTTATAAGTTATATGAAGAACGTGTACTTCAAAATGTCTTTGTAAACTAAATACACAAGATTTTATTTAATTGCTGAATATATCAGCTTAATCAACCTAATTATTCACGGTATTACTGGTTGAAAGTTATTTTTAAACTATTTGAAATTTCTAGATATTCACTAGCATTTCAGTCATTGTATAAATACTGAAGAAAAGCTCTAAGATTAATTTTTGCAGGGTTCAGATTGATATCTTTAATCTATGGAGTAAATCAAAAATATATTAGTTAACAATTTATTGAATTAAATCTAGCTTGAGTTGTACTATACCACAAAACAATTATCACTGGAAATGTGAACTATTTGATTCTGACTCATTGATCTGACACTGAACTGTCTATGTGGCCTGATGCTTCAAGATGTAATTTCGTGTGCCTGATGTGTACCGCTAATATATCTCAAATAAAAATGAAACAACTATCCATTTCTTCCGATTTTCATTGATAGTCTAGCTGATATTCGTTTGTAATTAACATTATCTTTAAAGTAGCTTTTTATGAATTGTATAAGCTCTTTTCATTTTTGTTTTATTTCTAATAATTACCAATGGATTAACATTTTTTAAACATGCAATTTATGCTTTTTTGTTTCCTTGAAGAACCATCGACCTGGCAGTTATATGAAAATTTGGAAATATATAAACTTTAGTCACTGAGACTTTTTCAAATATCATCATCTGATAGCATCCTCGAATCATCGAGATACCTAAATTATAGTGAAATGAACATATATATCTGCTACTAGTTACGTAATAGAACGATATGTAAAAGTTAGCAATAGTTGAATAAGACACTGAGACTAAGTTGGAAAAGCACAGGTGGTCTGTTTTTGTATAACATTGCACTATAATGTGAAAGAAAGCTATGTATAACTGGTATCTGTCAGTTCGTTATAATTTTTCATTTGGAGCCTTAGAAATAGTAAGGCTCACTGTCTTGATACTTTGACCGACTTGATTCAGAATAGAAATCTATGCATACCAGTATATGTGAGTACACTCAGATAACTTGAATTAACAAGACAGAATATGATCATATAGAACTTGACAGTTGTCGATAATTAAACAATGAAATTGTTATTGCTTTCTAAATCATTACGGTCACCGTTAGAAATGAATGTTTATTTGTTTAGTCGATCAATACTATTAAATATATTTTACTACTTCCATTTAATATAGCAGTATATATTTTGACGTAACTATCCGATTAACATTAGTATATATTCAGTTTTTATCATTTGTTATCTATATAATGACCAACTAATTTTCGCAACACTACCTATTTGAGTCTTGAAGAAAGCTCTCATCAAATGTTATCCCATCTTCGCATTTTGATTGACATATTCTTTACCCTAAAAGAGAATATTCTGTACATATATACCTCATACTCTCTCTTCATTATTCCTTTATTTAATCAAACACATAAAAATTGATACAAGGAGACACCAAATAGCTATGCGCCATCATTTGATTTGTGTGAGAGCTGGAATACTGCCCGAGCACCCGAATTGAAGAGGGTGGTTTTCTCAAGGGGTCACTCACCGAGCCTCTGACCTGGGGATCTAATTCACAAGGTAGTGGAGCAACCATAGTAAATACAGTCACATGGTATTCGGCGACCATTAATAGGTCCCTAAACCTTTTGTTCTCTTAGGATCATGGAGCCCATTTTTACCACTGGTTTAGAATCAGGATTTTCCAATCTCCCTCGAGTGGACTCTCCGTTTTCACCAGCCCCGTTAAAGAGCTGGACATCCACTTTTTGTCCTCAACTTTGTAAACGACACAGCCTTGAGAAGACAGGGAGTAGGACTTGTCTGACAATAGCTGTAAACGCGTAGCTATTTGAGAGCGTTTTAATAAGGAGAGCGGATTCTCCTCACTCCCAGCCGTACCATGGCATTCGAAGGCACTCTTTCTTTATAAGTCAAATTCAACTTTAATTTTTCTAACGGACTTATTAAACCTTATAATCATTCTTCATATAACACCATTTCAATTTGTTAATTTACAAGTATTTCTGTTTCGTCATTATTGTTATTATTTATTTATTTATGTAAAATATGTATTATACGTTGGCGTATAGTTTGGACGCTTTTTAACTTCATTTCACTATGATATATATATATATATATATATATATATATAATATGTATATATCATAATGATTTGTTGTTAAATTATTCAAATATACATCATAAAGTGTGTGTGTGTGTCCAGTTGTTAGGTTGAACTGATTTTGTTTTCTCTGTAGAATATGAAGAAATGAATTGTAAGATATCATTTATCTTAAAATGGATTGTTAAAACCACCCATTGGGATGATGTCATTTATCAGGCATGTCAGATATATATATATATATATATATATATATATATATATATATATATATATATATATATATATATATATATATATATGAGAAAATCAATAAATTAAGAAAAGTATATCTATAAGTATTCCTACTATTTACTACTTTCATAGGAAGATAAGTCTATTTGTCTTTCATAATAAAAATTCCTGAGTTTCTTTTTCCTCACTTATATTCACTTTCATATACAGAAATGTAAATTAAATTAACTTGTTTGTTTTTGTTTTGTTTTTAGAAAAGAAAGATACAGTGTACAGTTTAAATTATTGTTTTCTAATAGTAATTTCTTTCATATTAAATAAATAAAAAAATAGTTAAGATAAAATTCATTTCAATGAAATAGACGTTGAATGTTTCACGTTGGAAAAAAAAGAAACAAACAAACAAATTACTCCAACAACAAAAAGAAAACGATTTTTCGAAAAACAGTTAATCTAAATAAAAAAGAAAATTTTTTTAAATTTAATTTTCTAAATGTAAATAAAAGTAAACAATAGTAGTTGAAAGTGTTTTTCTTTTTTTTCGGTTTTTGTAGAAATATATATATATATACATATAACTCGGTGGTAACGTCTCTGACTGTGAAGCTGGGTGACACGGGATCGAATCCACCAGAAGACACCAGTTCCCTCAAGATTACAGGTACACCTTGCTGAC